ACGGTAGATAACACCCACTATTAGTTCTGCGCGTCTGAGGCGGATTGTGCACCACAATTGCTCGCATAAATTATCCTCGCTCCGATAGGTGCTGGTAAGTTTGCCAGATAGTGACGATTTTATGTACAACAGAACATCACCGTGAGCCTTTGATTTTCGGTCGCATCGGAAACAAGAGTATCCTGACAACGCGACTTCTTGGGGTATGACGTCGGAGTTCAGCCAAGTCTCTGCAAGTCCTAAAACGTCCGGCCGCTCCGAGACAGCGAAGCGGCACAGTTCGTCACGTTTGTTCATTAGGCTGCACATGTTGGCGAATGTCACACGGAGGTCCTGGGAGGTACCGCGGGACGTGCCTGGAGGTTGAGCAACCGGTTGATACGGGTTCGTACACCCTTCTTGATCACCCGAAAATTTACAATTTGTAAGTCAGTCTCACCTTCTTCTGTACGGCGTTTGAGCTCAATGACCACAGTCTTCAAACGATCCCTGTCTTCGGGTTCCAAGTCTCGGCGGATGTGAACTTTTATGCCTTTCAGCCTTGACAGACGAGACAGTATGAGCTGCGGCATATTGTGATTTGCAAAGGTGATTCTCAGAGGTCGACATGACTGGTTAGTTTTCTGGCCAAGTCGGATTACTTGTTTAATCGTCACACTGTCTTCACCCACATCCAAGAGTCTATCGATGAGCCCCTGGAGGAACTCAACATCGTGATCATAACGTATCTGAGGGTTTTCATCTTTTGACTCTGGTACGTGGAAGACCATGAGATTATGACGCCTCAGCGAAATCGGTGATGAACCTGTGGGAGCAGGACTAGAGGCGCTTATCGGTTTGGGTTGTTGTTTATCAGCAGGGGACGCCTGAACTCGATTACGTGGCCCCTTGCGCTTTTGAGTGGTCCATGGATCCTCGGTGTTCAGAGGTTCACAGACAGGCTCTGAGAAATTCACGGACCGATCAGTGAAGCGGCATTTCGTAGGTTCCGAGTCTGAGTCTTCAATCGGTGGGGAACATTGAACCTGAGGCTCGGCCGGGGTCGAAGACGCTGGTGGTGGTGCAGATCGCGGAAGGCGAAGTGACAGAGGTACTTTCACGAGGGCGTTTGACCCCACGTGGTGAACGGTTTGTTTCTGCCTGGAAGAGAGGTTTTCCCGTAGTTGTTGGCGGTCGCTGTGTATTCTGATGTCTTGCACCGCGACATTTATCACATATAACTTGGAAAAACCGATGTCGGATGTCGAGAGATTTTCGAAACACGTCAACGGATAAGCCAATGCACGAAATATGGAACAAAACATCGCAGCCGAAGCACCGAAGTGCATGAGCCTTATGTCCAACAACTTTCGAACACGAACCACAAGTAGCTTGAGACGGCATCACAAGGTAGAGCAAATCCAAGATGGCGGACACAGATGGCAGTTGGGCCAATCAATGAGATCTCCGGAATTAGCCAAAGAATATCCACCAAATTTGCACCGATTGGAAAATACACCAAAAGAAGAATATTGGTGCACAATTCACACAGAAAAACACTTATAACACAGTAATCCGAAGCAAAAGTAGTATCCAGCACACGGTGATTCAAAAATCCGCGGCGTTGAGCTCCTCCCAGATAACCTAATTATTGATTTGGAATACGCTGATGATATCGTCTTGTTGGGTGACGGTCTACAGGCCGTCCAAGTTGCACTTGACCGCTTGTTGATTGAAGCGTCAAAGTATGGGACGGCTTTTTCCTCAGCCAAGTGCAAAGCCCTTTGGCAGGAGTTGCAGACGTCCGTATTTGCATTCACTTTTGGTGGTGAGACACTGGAGGTTACGGAGAGTTTTGACTACCTGAGAAGCGGCAACACTTCAGGTGGAGCATTTGGAGGCAAGATTTCAGGGAGTATCTCAGGAGTCCGTCTCACTTTCTCTAAGCTGAGAAACTTATGGCACCGCCACGACATCTGTCTATCCATCAAACAGCGGATTTATTGTGAAACTGTCCGCACTGTACGGTTACGAGATTTGCCCTGTTCGTACCGTTGATCTGCGCCGACTCTCCGTTTCGAGCGCCGTTGCTTGCGGTCCATTGCCCGTGTGTGGTGCCTGAATCTTACAAGCAATGTTAGACAGCGTGTCTTGGGTAGATGAGGCTACTCGCTCCAGGAGCTCGTCCGGCTGCGGTGGCTTGGACCCGTACCACGCATGCGTGCTTATCGTCTTCTGCATCAAGTGTTGTTTGCAGTTGCTGGAGGAGAGGACGCGGTGGACAACGTACAACATGGAGAACATACATGAAAAAGCTGACGAAACAGTTGGCATCGGTCGGTTGTTCTCGACTCATTGGTTAGGATTTCAGAGAAAGTGTTGCTGGAAGTCATGGTTCAAGACCGACCTCAATGGCGAACATGTATCTCTGCGTGTTGTGGTAATTTCCCTACCCTTGCCCAATAAAACAAGCAATAAACAAACACAAAAACTGAATGAAAAACCAGATTAAAAAGTGAGGTTCATTTTCCCCCATTCCCATCCAGCATTCTTATTCCGCCGTGGCTCTGTTGGCACATCTGTACCATATATATATATATATATATATATATATATATATATATATATATATATATATATATATATATATATTTCCCGCCTTCGATGAAGTCATGGAAATGGCATTCACTGGAGACGATCTGCAAGGTGTGGAAGTGCTCCCAAGTCAGTGACTTCTTGACTTAGAGTATGCTAACGACACTGCCCTTATCTGTGAGTTCCCAAACGTGCCAAGTAGCAAAGACTGTCGGGCTATGTTTTACACCCACAAAATACAAAGTCCTTCTCTAAGATTGGCAGGGACCCACTCTTGCGCTGACCTTTGATTGGGATCACATAGAAATCGTCCAGAAATTCGAATACGTGGACAGCTATAGCAGCTCCCGTGGAATCTAGGGTGAGACCGCAAACCGTAAAGCAAAAGCCTGAGGTGCTTCTGCCAATCTCCGCCATCTGTGGCGTCAGCAGGATATCAGTCGCACCCTGAAGTTTATAACGCATCCGTGCGTTCAACCCTACACGGTTGCAATAACTAGCCCATCAAGTCGACAAACCTAAAGGGACAAGGTACATTCGACCATGGCTGCCTTCACATCGATCAACCGCAGTACATCAGCCATTTGAACTGATGCTTCGCTGCCATAAAACCTAGAGGACCTATGAAATAAAGAATAAGAAGAGGGAGAGAAGGGGGACTTACCTGAAAACCGTAATGCCCTAAGCAAACATTCAGGGTCAAGGCATCTACACCTAGTGTAGACAACATACCGTCAAAAACAGCTGGCTAACGTGTAAAGATAAGAAGGCATCGGCGAGATAGCTTCCTTGCGACTTTCACTGCCACGCGTCATAATCAGTCATTATCCCGCAGATAACAGCACCATACAAAGTTGAAACAGACAATCCGATTAGGAGACGGTAGCTGCCTTCACAGATTAAATCATACCTGGTGGGAACACCGCGTGAGCAATAAGCGTGTTAAACGTCGTGTATTTGGTAAAGAAGAAATGAACCGTTTAGCACCGTTATAACACACAGACACACACAAGGCTCCAGTGGCTGAGCCATGAGTTGCGCATGCCAGCAAACTGACTCTCGTGAGGTGCGTTGTTTGCGCGTCGGAGTCTGGATGGAAGGTGAGGAGTCCAAGCGATAATTTAGTCAATAGGAATGAAGGCCCTCACTTCGAACTTGGCGTCAGTTGGTGCCTCCCGACCGCCGGGTTGCGGTCCCAAGGACAATGAACACGTTTGGTTGGATACAGTTGTTGAAATGGATAGGAACCGACTTCAGTGGTGTTTAGGTTGTGAGTTTCTTCGTCCCTCTACTTCCCGGTTATCTTCCCTCTCCAACAACGATCTCACAGAGCATGGATAATAGAGCACTTAGCATTACACTAGTTGCTTATTAGTTCTTGTATTCTGTAATGCTTAGTATTTCGCTCTTCATTTGTATTGCGACACAGCTAGCTGAAGTGTGTTTGCCACCATCAGGTAATGTGTAACTATGATAATGATGATCTGCTTGGTTGAACTATGTGCGGAAACGACCTAAACTTGTCAATAGGCAAAATACCCAAAACCTGTACCAGTTCTGAGTCTTCCGCCACCTGGCGACTGAAGTCCAGCTTGTGCAAACAACTGGACCTGGTGGAAAGCCTAACCCTGCGCCCTAGTTTTGTCACTGGAAGTGATGACCTCGAATGCGACAGTCTCCAACTGATTACATGTACCGATCCCTCGCAGGCACTGTATGAAGTCAAGTGGCTGATTCAGAGTAAGCGATGTAAACTGAACATAAGCGAACTCGCTGCAGTCTTGCTATTTCAATGAAAAATAATAGATGTTACTGGCGTTTGAGGAGCAGTTTTGTACTTGTTTTCACTCGTCAGATTAAGAAAGTAGAACTGCGACTGGAACCCAGGAAGTTAATTATCGGATGAAGCATTTAAACCTAAGCCAGCATAACAGTTATGACTCATTTTGAGTTCGTTTTTGATCACACCGAGAATTTTCCGACTCAGACTGGTCTTTGTGACCGAGTAGCCTGCAACGCCATAAGTTAACTGTTAGCTTGGAAAGGGAAATTCGTATCTATGGAGGCCGTCCGCGTCTTCTACATAGTAACAACACGCATGGAGGGACTCTGAACATTTACGTTTTACATTAGATAACAATGCTCTCATTTTCCCATACTTATAACAGCGCCATTATGAATGCATAGCAAAGAAGAGCCAGCAAAATAACACTGATGTACCGATGTTAATGGTGGCGAAGCTCCTTAGAATCGAACAGCAGGCAGGCAGTCCTAATGTTCAAAAATCTGCTGTACTCATTATGTATGTCTAAGTAACGTCATAAGCCTAATGTCTAAGTAACGGGAATCAGAAATGCAAAAGACACCCTTCTGAGCTAATAAGACATGTTCAGAGAAGTATGAACATGTTCCCTACAATACTGTTCTGTGAATCTACTAATGACCTCTCGGTTTTTCGAAATAGTGGAGCAGCATGGCGCAAATATACGGGACGCCAGTTCGTGTTGCCAACAGTTGGTGGAGTAAGACAGTTTAGTCAAGAGCGTGCCTCAGATAATCTGATCAAACAACAAACAAACTGGTAGCTGCTACCAAGCACAGAAACAACTCCGGTGGCCAGACGATAGGTGATGATCAATTGAAAAGAACCTTAAAAAACATTAGCAAAGACAAAATACAGACAGTTATTAGAAGGTATAAACATCACAAGTAGTAGCAGGTAGCAGCCACAGATATATAGCAGAGGTAGAAAGCGAATGAGGGAATGACATCCAAATGGATGCTCAAGAATGACGTGTGGCCTCTGATAATTTAGTGAAGAGCGAAAGAGGGGAACGTTTCAACTTCGATTCTGGTTGATGGGGATCGTCCGCCGCAAGCTGTAACGGGAAAGGAACGCGGACCGTTAGACCGGACGAAATCGGTCAATGAGGAAATGTGAAAGTGGCGCAAACACACTAAAATCACGGAGGCACGGAACACCGAGGAGTGGCATATAAAAAGCATAAAATAATTGAAAACTACCAAAAATGCTGCCTAGAAATAAACTCTGTCCAGTTTCGTGCGGAGAAGAACACAATAACTTGAGTGATGAATACAGCTCACAGAGAATCCAAGTAATCGAAAGTATTAAGAACGCAAAGTGAAATTAGGTGGAAGAATGAAGTAAGAGACATACAAACCTCTTTCGCCACATTTGCACGCAGATCACCACGAGCCATTAGAAGCGAATAGATCTGGTCGGCGCGAACGTCTGGAAATTCGCGAATGAGATTCTGCGGAAACGGAGACAAGAAAAAGGGCGCCAAGTTTATTAGCAAAAGGAGTCGAGGTCCATTCATCGACATGATATCGCTCGACCACAGTAACCAACGCCCTGGTCAACATAATCAATGCAGCAACCTCCTATCACTGATGTTTTTACTTCAGTTAAGTGATCTACAAAAAGGAATCGTAGCGAAAAACAACATAACGCAAAGCAAGCCGAGAACCAAAACAGCAGAGCAGCACATACCAAGTGGAAATAGTGGAAAAAGAGTCAAAACCACCACAGAACAGAGTATATGTAGTCATAGATTTAAGCGTACATGGGCATACGTAGTCAAAATGAAGCACATGGGGTGACAATGCGAACTTCTTCAAGACGTCTGTCAATTCGTAAGTTAGCCTGCTTGTCTTCCGCGCAAAACCCGTTCGTGACGTCAGGGTTCGATGAACAAACAGCCGGAAAGCGCCCGAGTTCATCGAAGCGTGGTAATCAGAGTAGGATTCAGTTAAAAGACGTTTGGCGCCAGACACTGCCTATGAAACACTGCAAGTCAAACCAGCAATTTGCCTCAGGTTAAAGAAACGAAGAGAACATGAATCAGGTACACGGAAGCTGACGGGACAAAGAATATGATCACTTGGCCAAGCCACGTGAGTTCATGGAATCCAAGTATTTAAAGCAGAAATCGATCAATAACCAATTGGATACAGAAGTGGCCTGCAAAGCCGCCCTGATGATATCGTCTAGCTTGGCGACGAAACGTCTGTAGCCAAGGTACCCGGGGGTCGGAGAACAACCGGACATTCTCAGGAGTCTGAGGGCAGAAAGGTTGAAAAATTCGCACAGCTCCGGGAAAGCTGCGCAGAGTTCACGTGAGCTAGTCTCAGAAATACTGCCAAGATGCGGTGGTTCAAACTGCGCAGGTCACAGCCGAAATCTCCTCAAGAGCGCCGTTGCTGTGTCAACGAAAACCGCGCAAACTTCACCGAAGCTTCTCCCAATGACATTGCTGTATCGACCGTTCGATACCACAGTGACCTCTAACGATGTTTCCAAAGGACATTGACACTATGTGTTAACCATTGGTCTTGCTAACATTCAGCTTCTCTTATAGATTATGCATTTCGCTGCCATGTCAGTAAGTAATAAATACGAAGGTGTATAATGTATGTTTGCTTTTGGTTAAGTCAGTAAACGAACTCATCCACTCTGCCAGTCCGTCTCTGGGTCTCGTCGCAGGCGTGTGAGGTTACTGTAGTTCGTCTTCAATCGCAACTCGCGTGTACGCATGTCTGGTGACTAGGTCTTTTACACCGTACCGATCCGATTTCAATTGGCTACTTCGTGTATTCCGTACTCTCAGGAAAAAGCGTTTCGTCCGTTCCAACTAGGAATGGAGACGAACAAGGACGGTTAATGACCAGATTAAAGTCGAACCCCGTAAACACGCGAAGACAGGAAATTAGACACCTACTTTAAGTAGCCATAAGCAAAAATAATTTCATAATAATAGTTAAGGATCTCACAAACAAATAGACCCGACTTCCTTAAAATAGCGTTTATTGTTGCAATGGATTTTTTGTCACATGTGATTGCTCGATCCCTAATGGGTTAATTAAACCTAACAACAAAAATATGTCCACACGACAGTCTACTCGTGAGCTTGGAATCCGCTACTCTTCCGAGTTCCGTTTTTCTGAACAAACCATACACCAAATAGCTCGGGTCAAACAATCTGTGGCTAACATATACCACAAAATCCATACAGTCCCAGCCAGATTGGTATCAGTTAAAACTCTCACGCGTCCTATTCTCGAATACTGCAACTTCACTTATAGCAGCATGCGGAAGTTACACAGCAAATATATGGAAAATTTACAGAGGTCATTCACCAGTTTCCTTGCTTTATTGTAGTTGAATTAGCCTGATGATAAAGCCCTGAAAATAAGCTTGGTCGCTACTTTTTGTTTTTTATGTCCTCTCCGGGAATCATTTTTCAATTGAAAGTTTGTTTAAAAGCACATCGACACTTAACTATCGCGAACGTTGCAAACAGCTTCACATCGAGCCTCTCTGGCTGCGACGACTAGAGCAAAACTTGATGCGCCTCCACAATCTGTTGCACCAGAAAAAGTACTCTTACCTACATATAGAGATAAAACACAATAACCATCACAGACTCCGTAACAAAAAATTTACGCTACGGATACTAAGGGCTAGAACATCAATGCGATTCAACTTTTTCCTCTTCAGATACTCCGTCATGTGGAACAGTCTAACAACTGCAATCACGACATGTGAGAACCCCACTTCATTCCAGACCAAATTCGACAGGTTCTTTGATCTAGAAATGATATCATCCATGTTCTCATCCGACAACTCACCTGAAGAAATATTTCACGATGGTCCAAAAAATATAATAAGGCTAAGAATTGGCGATAACACCTCATGCAAGACCACGAACGTTTCTGTATATATTGATCGATTCCTTAGTTAGGAACAGTTTCTCACACTTCCAGACATATATATATATATATATATATATATATATATACCGAAAAAGATCGCTGAATTCATTCGGTAGCTTTTGTGTTTCTTACATCCATTGTGAGGCTAATGCCCAAACGAAAGCCAACAACGGTAAGTGACGGAGGAAGAACTTGCACCATTTCTCGAAAGCCCCAACGGACCCAGATTGAAGCTGTGTTCCACATAAAAATTGCAGTAGACTCTTTAACAACAGAATACTATTCGCACCCTCCTCCAGCACACGCAGTGAGAGTTGCGGATTATTTCCCATGTAAAGTACTAAAGTACATAATCGCGACCGAGTATTCTATCCAAGAATCAATAAGTCTTTCGAAAGGTTAACGTGATATGAGGATTGGTAGACTGAGAAAATTAGTTTGTTGTGATAAGCTATATCGGAGCGCAAGGCACCAATAAAATCACATGATCGTCCATTCATGCTGCGAAGACGTGCAAACAGTGCTCTAGATTGTGCAATGCCACGGAATCGCCACACTATAGAATAGTGAGCCATCGCCGTTGAGACGTGAAAACTGTGGTGACCAGGGTGTCTCACCTGTAACAATTTATATTTTACTGCCCCTGGCTATCAAAGTAACCAATAATGTGCGCCGTAGCCTAGTGGTGAGAGCTGTCATCAGTTAAAAAATAAACCGCAAGTTCGATCCTATGAAAAAGCAAACAGAACACGCATTGGTGAAAAGTCTAGGTTGCGCAACCGGTTGTTTAGCCGTAACGAACATGATTGATCACACATCCCATGATGCAGGTTCAGACGGTTCGCCATAGTCTCATAATTGTTACTTTGATCATGCAAAGAAACAATGGCACGAAAACTTAGGAGACAAACTATATGAAACCGCTTAAATTTAAGTGGAAGACTGTAAACGATCAATGGGGACTGGGAAGCCGTGAACGAGTTTACAGAATCCACTGCGGAAGTGGGTGACATTCTCGCTGGTAGATATCATCATGTAGAGGTGGCTAAACAGATGCGGTGTTTTGTCTAAAATTTCATACGATGGTTTGTAACGATGAACCATCCTTAATGGTCTGCTCAGGGGCCGCAGATAACAACATAGGTCTCTTTTAGTCTTTAATTGAACAAATGCCCGATGCATCAAGCGTACATAGGTGCAAAAAGTAGCGGACGCGGTTAAACACCTATTGTTATTGGAAAAAAACACTGGTCGACCGTTCCATCCCTTCGGGACACATCAGCTGTGAGCACTACCTAGGTCCGATGCGGAGCTGAGAATCACGAATCAACAGGCTCGACGGGATGTCAACAGCCGAACGGATTGAATAACCGGTTGTGATATGGTATGGCTCAATCTCCACCGACTTGGACGCCACTACTATGCATAAGTCGTCTTCAGTGCCCTACATCAATTGATTCTCTGAATTTGAAAATATGTTGCTCGGCAGTAAGGTGCAAGCCAGTGGAGAGTGAACTGAGCTGTACCGCACAGCAGTAACTCAATCATGCACACAGCTGATCGAAGGAGAGAGGGAGAGGAAGTGGCTACCTTGTGCTTTATCGGAGGTTGATCGTCGGCTGTCCACCTCTCTGTGATAAATCCCATATAAAACAATCAGTTCTCGCGCGCCACATCCTTGCTCTCCTTATCCGCCAACTTAAAACAAACCAGGAAGTAAAAAGAAGGTACTCACAGCAACATCCAATGACAGCATGGATGAGTCTGTCGTGAGGAAAAACTGTGCGACAACAAAGAGCGCGCCGAATGCAACAATAACCTGTGAAGCGAAAAGAGATCAAATAGGAAAACGGCTGATTAAACTCAGGGATGTAAATAACTCAAAAGAAAAGAGGAGGCAAATACACACAGCATCATCTCGTCAGATGTCAACTAACAGAGGTTGAATTAGTGGGGATGGCTAAGCTATATACCAAGGAAAGCGCGAAAAAGCTAACATTGACAAAGGAATGACAACTGACGCGGATAGTGGGGCATGAAGAAACAGAGGAGTAGGGCAAGTCGTACTGCAGATGTGAAGCAAAACTCAGATGAACTGTCGTAACGGGTGCGGCCAAAATACATCAGATGTGGCTCGATCTGATCCGACACATTGCAGACCTAAACTGGGAACAATCAGATAATCAGTGACTAATGGATATCAGCAACTAAGTAGCTATTCACACGCGTATGAGGAATGGTGAAGATGAACCAATTGGATACACGTGAATACAACTTGGCTGTTTCTAGGGTGTGCATGCTATCAAAGTTTGTTATGCATTTACAAGTAATCGCTATCACGTTTACTCACAAATGTGATGATATCCTTTAGACCCTTGAAGTACTAGACTCGACAAGCTGTCAGCCACAACAGTTGAAACGATGTAAGTGGAATCCGTTTTAAAATCAGGTGCAAGTAATCAAAATATATCGGTTGATCAAGGACTCAGCTAGATGTCGATGGTAGGTATCGCTTAAAAAGCTAAGATAACGTGTGCGCCAATCTCAAAAGATCGTCCCAGTGAGTCGTGTAGCGTACTATAGGTGACAATGAAACTAATCGACATGGTTGTGGCGCTGATGATGGTGTTGAGTATTGTCCGTTCGTGGTATTGTGCAATATGACAAGCTTCATCACCCTTAGACACTTAGCTTGGAACAGACCAAGGTCCAGAGAGGTCACAGCAGATAACCATGTGAACATGGGTCTGAAGCCCAAGGATTTCATCGACACATAGCCTCTGTCTTGGACCAAAATATTCGTTGTGTTTCAACTGTGGAGCGAAATCCAATACAACACGGTGACCGGCCCCAAATTTCCTTACATACATCGAAGAGTGCGTCTAAAGGCGTAACCCAGAGATTATGCACCCTACAGGAGTGAGTGGACGCGCTCAAGAAAAATCAAGATCCTGTCGTTCGAGATAGTTGGTACTCACTTCGTTCTCAACATTCATACTGTCTTCAAAATACGTTTTCAAAGCTTGACCATCGTTGATAATCTTTTCCCCTGCCTGTCGCCGTTCCGAATCAGATTTGAATACGCACCTCCTGTAAAACATCGGAAGATAATTTTCCACGAAGAAGCGCGAAAAAGAAAGTGGCGATAAACTACTGTTCACCTGGTAAGTAGCACTTTCATGTACTCCAGCAATACATTTTCAGCCAGTCGATCGACCAGAGATTTGTATAAAGATGGTCTCAGATGACGCAATGTTTCATCGTAGTCAGCCAATGTTCCAGAAAAGCAATTTGCTGTTATATCGTCAGGGCGCAACCTAAAAGAGTGGAACACGAAAGGCGCGGAAGCTCAAGGGTATGAAAGCTAAAACGATAAACATGGGTATTGTAGAACTAAGTTCCATAACCGTTCGAACACAATTATTGACAGAACCGTTCTCATATGACTGGATATCCCAATGCAATATGAATCGGCTAGGAAAATCAGACAGATGACAAAAACCGAGACTTGGTGATAAACTTGACATAGGTTTCCTCAGGCACGTGCAATTTTGAATTACATACTCACTGGGAAATAAGCTATTTCTGGAGATGCAGCGATTTGACGAGTACGCATTATCCGAAGGCATGAGGAGGATTTGGATCCTGTTAGTTGTAGCAGCTAATGCCAACTCCAACCCCCTGTCAGTGACCAATATGACCAAGGTCATCTGCCCAGGTAATGGTTATTGCAGGCTGAGGATTTGCACAAGTACCTCCCGTTTGCACAGTTAGGGCTGTGGCCACTTGATTGCAATGGCTTCAGCCGAGACCAGTAGACATATTCTTAGTCTTTTTGAGTTGCGATTCGAAGCGACATAAACTACTTAAAAGTGTCTTTAGTTTGTATCTGGTGCCCGCTACTTAGTAGGTGTCAAGGATGAAACTGTGAACATTACTGGTCATGACGTTGTGCTGAGGCGAGGCAGTGTTCCGCTATCCGCTTTGAAAGACCTTCGGTAATGTATCCAAGGTATCTTGTACGAAAACTGCAAATGGACTGATATGGAAAATATGAACCGGCGTGCGCCGGCATTCTGTCTCTCCAACGTTGGGTGATAAGCGGAACGGTTTCCGTGAGGACGCGGACTATAGTGGATGGACAAGTTTGACTCACTGCAGAAGATAAGTTCCAAATCAGCAGCTTAAAAGGGATAACCCAATCGGAATGTCTTCCCAATTACCCTTTTAACGTTTGAACGGGCGTAATAGACAATCGACCGAGATGGCCGAAAGTAGCGCCCGAAGAGGAACATATTTTGTGACAGTGAAAAGAAAAACATTAAAAAAACCGTTCGGCTGCTTCACGAGCCCACCTCGGCAGTTTCAGGATGGAATTTGTTTCTCAGAAAACTAAGTTAAGAATATTTATAAGAAAGTAAGCTGGCAGAGACCGATCAAATCCGATTCGAATGGTCTGCAACTATTGGAATCGAACGCAATCGTTATTTTAATTTGCTTAATTAGCTCCACCAAATGAAGGCACGTGTAAACGTGCGTTCAACGACAGGGATAGTTGTTCACCTTGCGCCACACGTCGAGCGCTCCATGTTAGATGCTCGTGAGATAGCGGCACATGCAACACATCTGCGGCAATTGGATTACGCTCCAGATTCTAGACAGAATTGCAGTGCTAAAAGCGTGTCCCCTTGTATGTGCCACAAACTGACAGCTTTTTCTACCCCGAGGAGTTTATCACAAAATCAAAGACATGCTCATTTCTATTTGGGTATGGCTGGCTTGCTTAACCAATGTCTTTAATGCGGTTCTATAATTGAAAGGAAAGTTCTGCCAAGCGGACAACCTAGGGACATACAGATGATAAAGCTATCTCGATATCGAAGCCAGTCTCCTAGACAACAACCAATGGGTGAATAGACATAAAGCGCCGCATATACGCAAGACAAGCCCCAAAGGAGCAGATACTGTTACTGGAGAGTATCAGCTAATCAGCACTTCTGATGTCCTCTGAACGACCAGTTCAGGGGGTCACTCGTCGAAGCTGTTTTGTCATATCTGTTAAGCGGACTGTTGGACAGGTTACCGAGTGTATCGGAAAGCTTAGTGTGTTCATGGTTCCCTATGAAATCAGTGAAGATCATAAACTGGGTTTCTCACTGAAAACATAAATAGGGATAACTAGCGACAATTCTGCTTGTAAGAAGAACTGTGACGCCTTTCCTTCCAACCCTGAGCGCACTACCAGATTCAAACTCCGACGGTGCCATGAATAAGGTACTCCCTGTGAGATAGCTGTAATTTGAATCCTAGTCCTAGTCTGTGTTGACAGTCCTCGGATAATGTCCTTCTGTGAGCTCACTTTGCCTAGATAGGCCCATGCACTATCACCCGCCGAACTGCCATATTTGATTCTTTCGTGTCCCCTATCAAGTTCGATACTCTGAACGTGATTGCGCGTTTCCTATGCGACACTTTCTTGTGTTACCCACTCTGTAATGTCCCTACCATTTTCAATGTGACACTGTCGAGTCTCACTGCCACATTTGACCTCTTCATGTTGCTTGCGCTTCAGTCTACGTGCAACCCATGCAGTGATCTTGTGCACAGGTACAGCGCAGTGCGCCGTGGTTTTGGCACAGATATCCCGTGACAATAGTTCATGCATCATTTAAACACCCTTCGTAGGCGCAGTCACTTGTACGATCGATGTCTGAAGACTAACCTGTCGGCTTTCGAGGAAAATTGTCGTATTACTGTTAGCATCGGAAGCGCATTTGTTGAGGTTCGTATTACCGACGGATTGTAGATAGAATCGTCGTCCAGTTCCGGACTTGTTCGTTGATGTGTCGCCGGTGGAAACTTGTTTGTTCAAAGCCCCTCCAAGCGATTTGTCACTAACTTCATGACCAAAGTGACCACTTTTAAAGTTTTAATATGTGTAGACAGGAAATATGTGAGACAGGAAAACACCAAGATGCTTTACGGTCGAGGAATCAGGTATGCTTTGGTCATCCACAATCATGGGACTAGAGGTAGGTATAAGGGACTGCAGTCTGTTGGGATGTAGAAAACAGTAGGTTGTCACGCAACACTTGGAAAGGTTGAGAGAGAGGGTCCGGGAGATGGTGCAAGTCACCAGTTCGTGTAACCCTCGTTGAGGTTTCAAAGAGTCCTTGATGAGTGGAGTTATGCAACCCAAGGCGAAATCATCAGCATATTTACAGCCTATGAAGTTTGGTGGAATAGTGAGACCTTCGAAGTAGGCGGAGAAAAGAAAAAGGGGATAGGATGGCACCCTGCAAAAGACCACAATCGGCTGGGAGTACAGAAGATGTACTGGGTAGCTGGGTGAAATGGGTGCAATTTGTGAAGTAGTCACGCACTACACACACATGGGGCGCCAATTTCAGGCAAAATATTCGGCAGTAATGATCTGTCGAGGTTCTCAAAAGCGTTGGTGTAATCAAGAAATAGATTTCGTACGCTCTTACATCTTTATCCAACTCTAACGCAATGGAATGCACCAGGTAAGAAACGGCGTCGAATGCAAAGCGCCCTGGTTAACAGGCAAACTGTTTGAGATTATCAGTATGAATGACGGTGAGAAACCGGAGTATCGGTAGTTTTTCCAATACCTTTAGAAGTACGAACGTGCACACAATTGGCCGACATGTCCGAGATCCCTTTTTTGGCACTGGTATTACTGTGGTTGATTTTCAAATGTCGGCTGTGGTACCAGTCGTTAAGCACCGATTCAAGATCTCTGTCAGAGGTGTCGTTAAAACATTTGCGCATTCTTTTACATCGACTTCTGATAGAGTATTCGGTCCACTAGCCTTGTTTGACTTCAGTCTTAGGAGTTCCTAGTAGGCGATTACAGTATCAAATAAAGTGGCAGGCTCGATAGTGTATTAGGTGATGAGAAGCTAACTCAGCGTTGAGTTTAGCTACAACCTCGGTAATGAGTGTTCTGAAGGAATGCTTTCCGGAGAGTTGTCTTGGAAGCCTCTATAGGTCACGGCAGCTGTGGTTACCTAAAACGGTGTGAATGTACAGTGTTTAACCTTTGTATTCCAGCAGTTATAGCCAAGAACAGACGTTAAACACGGGTAGTTAGCCTATGTTCATAAGTCTGTTCTTTACTTCTTCGCAGTGGCTTGAGCAACGGAGATGGAAATCTCTCCTTTCGCAAATATATTGTCTCAATGGGGCAAAACAGATGAAAACAGTCGATACGGTGCTCGCATTGAGCTGACAAGTCTTCATTGGGGAAAAATATAGAAAAAAGTCGAAGAAAGTGTCGATGCGAGTTTCTCTGATGCAGTTGCGTCATTTAACAATTCTGAGTGGTCTTTTTTACAGCGCAACATAGTTGGACTTACGGTATGACTTGGGACATAGCTTTTGTATGCAAAGGTCGGAGTTACCAAGAGGTGCACACTTTTTGTGTGGAAAACAGTTCGAGTTTGTAGGTAGAAACTAAATCTAGATGCACCTCGAGTCTAGTATGGAATTTTACCAAATGAGCTAAACTCATGCTGTTAGTGAAAGTTGTGTCACTTATTGAAGTCGCCGTGGAGTACACAGGTGGAACATCCTAACTCTAGTTGCAACTCCAAGGCTAGATAGTCTGTAACCTTTGGCAGCCCGAACTGGGCTATGTCCTGAGCCACGTACATGTTTCTAACTACCAGAGTCAAGAAACTGCTCAGAAACCTTGGTCTACAACGCAATAGTTGACAGCATACTGTTGCAGGGTACTCGGAGTTTTGAAATGGATTTAATCCCATCTATGTTAATGTAAATAATGACACCTCCAAGATGTTGGGGCTCTCGTGGGTGGTCAGATCTAACATGGCGGTAGCCATTGCGATTAACGAATTCAGCACCAATATCAGAATGCAACCAAGTTTCCTATAACCTAATTATCCCTGCCTTCATAAATTCCTTTCGCTGCAAAATGTATTTGTAATCATCAATTGTTCCGAAAATTAATCCTACGTTACTGGACGAGATCAGCGGAATTTGTGCCTTATTCACGGGACAGCGCTTGAGTCCTACTAACTAGCCAGTACAATGCGTTTTCTTTCTTCCTAAACTTTTCGTGGTAATTCTTTTAAGAGTGTTTCTGGTCTTGTGGCCGTACGCAACCAGAGGCGATTTTCACACATTGTCTCGACGATAAATCAAATCTTCAAACGAGTACAACAACATTGGTGACTACAGAATTGATGCACTTAAACAGAGGATAAAACAATATCTGAAAACCTAAAGAATCCGCAGTGAGTCGCGTAAAATAATATTCCGATGAGAACAGCAACCACCGAATATGAAGGCCTCGCCATATCGGAGTAAACCAATGGTGTCGATCACAACTGAGGAGTAATGTTCTCAGCTGCCCAACAGCAGTATGAGTTGCCATCACGCCACTAGACAGCGACTAGAATAAAAATGCGTCGCTGTGGCGGTAGCATAGGGAGCTTGAACCTAAGCAAATGGGTCCACCGACCCGCCTCCGAAAATCTAAGATAAGCAAAGTAAGCGAAAACATCGTAAGAGTAGAACATTAAGAGTGGGACAAGCTTGAAGATGGAGATACTCACCACTGGGGCGTCATGACGTTCTTCATGACGTTGCTTAAATCAATCAGGATCGTCTCCTCTGCAGCCAACCGACTGAAAGTATGGAAAAAACATGCACGGAATGGTAGAGGCTGTGTATGTGCATTGCACATATTGTGCAGCCATGACGCAAATAGGAGGGAGATGTTTCAAAGAGAGACGGCAGTTAAAGAAGATAAAATGCGCACAGCATGACGAAACGAAGAATCGCAATGCAACGTTGTTGTGCTGCATGTGAATGCAGGTGGAGGAGTTTGGCAAAAGAGAGGAGAGAACTAGGGAGAGATAATCCCAACATGCCATCGTCGAACTAGATAGTTTGGCCATGAACGTTTCGTCAATAAGAGCAGAAAATATCAACAGCACAAGCGCCCCTTGTCATAAGGTCAAGGAGGCTGATTGAAGTTACCCCTGTTCCAGTCCGTGCTTTTTAAGTGAAAGTACAGCGCTGCAGCTGTTGTGTGGATATGTGAAGTAAGGAGTTTAGCGGAGATACACATAGCGCAACGGTCCAGAGGGCCCTCTGGTGACGAAACAGTCAGTGAACACAAGTACAGTGCCGGCAACAGATAGAGGCCAGTGAAAAGTGAAAAGGGAGTGCAATCACCAAGCATATTAACGTCAATTCCAATGAACAGAACGGAAAGTGTACGCTAGTCGCGAGATAATTAACCAATGTACTTCAAACAGTGAAGCCGTGTGTGCGACACAATACCCAGGAGTAGAGAGAGAACAAGTGATCGATGAAAGGATTTTCGCACAAAACCTTTCGCACGCACGCACTCAAGTAAAGTTTCGCTATTCATGAGTCCGTGAGTAGGGAACGACCGAGACCGTAGTAGCGACGCCGTGCTGTTCACCAAGGGTCGCCCAACGCACTGGGCTTAGTTAGACCGTGTAGGAAACGCTGGCTGCTAAATCGAGTCAAACGAATTTCCAAAGTACTACGAGAGTCCGACAAGAGCATAGCTCGAGGCTAATTATGTGGATGGGCGAGCAAACGGTTCAGATTAAGCTTAATTTACATACTGTCCAGGATAACCCAGTTAATATGATCCAAGCACCGATATTGTCGAAGCAAGGAAGGTCAGTGACCACAAGGCGAAGTAGAGAAAAGTATAGTGAAAAAGGGCCAAAGAATAAAGATCGAAGAGAGGATTGGGAATTAGAGGTAAATGATCGAACGAATCGGTGTTGTCGAATCTGCGACTGATCCACATCAGATAAAGTATGCAATCCCCTATGAGTATTATCCAAAAGCTTTTAACCAGGACGACAACATGGAGGAGACCGATGAAATCTCCCGACCCATCCCCACATGTCTTATTGACAGATCTTCGGCTGACTACACAGAAGAGTCAACCCCAACTAGGAAAAATGGTCAAGAGTGTGGGGTAAATGAGTAACAGGCCCATACGAGACAAAACCAAGCCAATGTGGGTGGTTCACAACTAACAGCTGGTCCGGAGTCGCATTGGAGTGTGTGTTACTGTGTACTAAACTCCAACGAAACTTCCCGGATGAAGAGTGCTGCACAGAAACCGGTGACCAAAGGGAGTGGTGTTTTAATGTTTTGGCGCACATTGGGTGGCTTACAGTAACGCTCATACGGTACCTGAAATCCCAATAAGGACAGTGAGAAATGGGAGTAAGTTTCAAAGATGGGTGTTATATATGAGGATGAGAATGTATATTTCACGACTGTGCAAGTCACAGTCCAACTACTTGGACTGATCACATACTACTAGGACTGATCATATACTACTTTACACAAGCTGAGATATTAGCTTGAGCGAAAGCGATTTACGAGTTGAGAAAGCCAATCCAGAATGGTTTTTAATATGCGTGTCGCCACTCAGGTACTCCACGCAGTACAACTATGTGGTCCGAGCACCTTCGACCAAGATGGAAACCACTGATTCGACTTGTAAGAGTGTCAGTGAACCACAGCAATACTCGTGTAGGTTTCCATGACGTCTGAGAAAGTTGAATGATAACGACAAGTAATAACCGCTAGTAAGCAGATACTCCTCCGGTCCGTAGCCTAAGGGCAACAAGCTTGTCTTGTAATCTGACGGCTCGGGTTCGCAATGTCCTTAGCCCACGTGCCATCGGTGGTGGTTGCGAGGCAGCGGAGCGTCGGTACTGCGTACCGGCGTATTGCTGATGTCTCTTTCTAATCTTCCTCCGGTAAAGAGATGACTAAACTAATAGACGATTAGTTTCCTTCATTTCTGGTTATCAATGAACATAGGCCAATTCATGTGTTTTACCGGTTACAACAAAACAAATGCTCAGTGTACCCAATGAGAAGTAGGATACGTGATGTTGATGAGCCAAATGAGTCCATGGGATTCACAAATGATTGATTACTGATTACTGATTAGAAGCAGCGAGTAGAGCTTGCTCTGTGTAGCTGCATCAATCTTCACTCATGGACAAATACCCGTTATGTTGTGTTCCGCTCAATATATTTTGCGTCGGCAAAGTGTTTGTCAAGGATCTCCTTAAATTCCGACACTGACTTTGCCTCAACTACTTGCTGCGGCAGGTCGTTCCATACATTCACCACTCTGTGTTCGAAACAGAGTTGGTGAGCGACCCGCTTTAAATCCGGTACGACAAGCTTATACCGGTGTCCTCGTGTGCTGCTTGGTGTGCGCAGATGAAGCAGTGGTCTCAACATAGGGTAATCACCTAGATGTAATATCCGATGAGTCATGATGAGGTCAACCCTCAGTCGACGATAAGCTAGGGTGCACAGACCTAATTTCTTACACCGATCATTGTACGGTACACCTCGTAAGTTAGGAATCAGCCTGGTGGCTACATGCTGCACTCGCTCAAGCCTTTCTACCTCGTCCCGGGTGATAGGACAATAAGCGGGAGAGCCATACTCTGGCATTGGTCGTATTATTGAGACGAAGAGGCGAGTGGCAATCTCTTCGGATCAAGTGCTGAAGCTGCGCCTGAGCGCCCAAAGCATACGAAGGCTGTTTCGGTAAATCCTATACGTGTTGTCCATGGACTATAGGTCGTAGCGTGAGAGTACACCGAGGTCGCGCACGA